GAAGCACAAACTAACCATAGAAAATGGCATAATATGCAGTGGAGATATAATAGTAGCTCTACAAATACTGAGAAGGGACATATTAAAAAGCGTACATGATGACGTCCATAATGGCTTAACATCAACACAAAAAAAGACTACAGTTACAAGCCTGGTGGCCAGGTATATTCAAAAGATTTAGAGGAATACATTAGGAGATTTCTAAAATGTTCAGAAATAAAAAAAAACCTTCAAGCAAGCAAAAATGCACTCATGGCCCAAGGAAGCAGAGGCATGGGTTAGGGTCCACATGGATCACGCAGATATCAAAAATAGAGGAATGTTCTTAGTATTAATGGACTCATATTCAGGATGGCCAGAGGTTGTCAGAGTAAGAGACAGAAAAGCCACCGCAATAAAGTACTAAGAACTATATTCTCAAGTAATGGAGTACCCAATACAATGCACCAGAAATTTGCGATGAGAACTTATATGCGTGGTTGAAACAGATTGAATGCATCCCATACGATACACCACTGTATCACCCACAGTCTAATGGCACTGCGGAAAAAATGTTACAAACGGTAAAAATGGGATTAAAAGCATTCTCACCACTTAATGAAAACCTAGAAACATATCTACCGAAAATACTCCTCCGTTACAGATCTATTCCCCATGCGGAAATAATGGGAAGACAAAACAGAGCCCACATAACTATGTCCTTTGCAATGAAAGAAAAAGTATGGTATAGAAAGAATAAAGAGGCTGATTCAGAAGAAGCAAATTCCCTGATACAAAAAGGACACAACACGGCTATACTTGAGAAAAGGGACAACACATACTGGCACATGCAGATCAATTCAGAAGCAGAAACGAACTGGAAGATCAAAAACAAGAAGAGATAGAAAATTATAAAAGGGGAACAGAGCAGGAAATGGAAGGAAGTGAGAATGAATAGATAGACGAGTATGAAGAAGAAAATTAAAATCGCTATTAAAAAGAAAGCAAGAAAGACAAGAGGAAAGAAAAAACACTACGAAAATAATCAAGAATAACAAAAGAAAAAAAAACAAGGGTATACAACCTCTCCGATTCAGGGAGATGTAGTATAGTATGCAAATTAGATAGACATGTATAAATAGAGAACAACTGGCGAACATAGAATCTATGCCTAGCAAACCCGTTTGTTATTCAGGACAAAGAGAACTGCACTACGACTGCTACTATACAGAGAGTTACCCAAAACATAACAGATTGAAGCTTCTGGGGAAAGATTTAAAGCAACGATTTTCTGACGAAACTTAGGATAATACGAATATGACAAAAAATCCTTTTACATTTGACGTATTCTCAAAATATTCGTCTTCAAACACACACTGCTTATAATTTATGCAACAGGCTTACTTTGGTCAATAGTTGCATCGGAATTGATATTTGAAATATCGAGCTAGAATGAAATAAAATTCGTTCTGGTATTAAGGATTGAACAATTTCTTCATAAGTTGGCATAATACATAAAACTCATGGACTATATATTCATGACTGATAATTTGATAAAACAAACAGGAACCATTTTCAATATATATTATTTGCATTGTGTACAAGCAGAGTATTGTTTCCATCTTTGTTGTCATCAAAATGTTTCAGGCATTGTGCCCTCCGGTCATCATCAGGTAATTGTTGGTCCGGGGAAACTTTCATTGAATTTCAAACTGAACATCTTTAATCTGCAGCGGTAGTTTGCTCTCCTTGTGTTGTCCATGTCTGGAGAACGGTCATTTAGTTTTTACTTAGTAATTCACAGTTATTTCTCCCGTCATTCCCACTGAGTCCAAGCGCACACTACCCGGAGAAGGGTTTAAATTCTCTTTTACCAAATTCTCAAAACAACTTTTTAAATCCACTAAGCTATTCTGAATGGAAAACTTGGAGCCGCGGACAAAGGCGCGCGTGGAAATAATGCAAATAATAATAACGACTCATTCTAGAAATTCAGACAGAAATGAATGTATATTACTCAGAGTAATTTCCAGAAATCGAAATGTTTTTATACCACAATGAATGTTTTATAAAATTCTATTTTGTTCGTCCCATCAAAGACATTACTAATTTGATTCAGAACAAATTATGAAATTGTGCAAATCAGTTGTAGGATTTGTGATACTTGGTCTCTATGGAATACAATATTTTATTTTAGGTTTTCATTTGCCTAAATAATCATTTAACGAATTCCCAAGTCATAGAAACGAATAAAGAGTAATAAAGGGTTGCAATTTAAAGAAGTCGATGAACGAATGAATTAAACCAAAAGCGATTTCACTTTGAGGCAAGGTTTCCATCGTGACGACTTTTTTATAATTTTTACTTTGAATTTATTATATAAGCGTCTTTCTGATGGCTATTATGCATATTGTTTTAATATGAACATTATTTTATTTATAATCTTTCATGTATTATTAAAATTCCAAATTTAGAATAATAATAGCTACTACTCAGAATTATTATATCTGAAAGTACATAATCACATGAAACCATTATACCAGCCAATGTGGCAGACAGAGTAAAAGACCTGTAAAACATAAATAATAAAAACATTTTAAGAAATTTGAAAAATATATGGGACTGAAAATAGAAGTTGAAAGAATGCGGCTTTTCAACACAAATCTATTCCAATAATAAAGGGACACGTTGAATGATTAAAACGGATGCTGATACACATATAAAAAATATGATATCCTTCACCATCTGTGATCCAAAAGATTAGGATCATGGCTACTACTAGAATACTCAGCAAAATTCTCTTAACGTAATATGTTCAATAGCTTTATAAGAAACTAGAAGCATGGCCCGGCGTTGCCCGTGTTTGATTCAAAAATCGTACGAGTCATACAGCAATTGCTATCACTTGACTTAAAATATTTTTGCCCTTCCTTGCCTTTAAAGGGGTGCCCTTTGCCGTGCTGATGTTGCTACATACCTTACTTCTTGCCTATCTCACACTGCGAATTTTTTCTAACCTCTATACTAGACATTAAATCTGTTACAAAAAAAGAACTAAACAAAATGAACACACAACGATCAGCTTTAAAAAAGGACTCGTAACTGGAAAAACCGAATGAAAAAAGAATGTTAACAACAAATACTTTTTCACACCCAACCCAGTTTCCTGAAATATTGAGACTGGTCATACTACTATGTCTCTATTCAAAACCACAAATCCAGCATTCAATATGTTTGATTTCGTAGGGACCTCAATTTTCTTGCATGGAAAGGAAAGATGGAATGGAGTTTGCGTATCACTGGCTGAGGACTTCAGTGTAGACCACATTTTTGCGAGGGTGAATAAAGGAACACATCCTCGCGCCTGCCGACTCGAGAGAAGGCAACGTAAAGTTGGCCGTGTGAGAAGCACTGCTCCTCTAAGTGTACACCAGTGACAGACAGCGTTTGTCTTTGGGCCTTATTAATTGTCATAGCAAAACAGGGTGCGACTGAGAATTGGGATCTTCTGAAAGTGAAGGATACGTCGGCATCTGATGGATACAAATGCATCCTTGGGATAAGCACTTGCTGCCCTTTACCGCAGCCAGTTATAATTTTGGCCTCAATAATGTTTTGGTGTAGGGCCTGAATAACCATCCTGCTCCCATTTCAGAGTTTCGGTGGACGCAGGTTTCTAAGCAACATAATCGGGATTCCCACTTTAAGTTCCAGAATGTGAGGAGGCAGACCAGCGGGGTGGAGGCTGTTTAAGAACTCCACTGGAAGGTTCGCCATTTCAGCGAGGTCTGGAGATCTGTCAATGGATTTGTAAATGTGCAACACTCCTGGCACAGTTTCCAGAAGCTGTCTATTAAGGGTTGTCACAGTGGTGTTTTTTGGGGCAAGAATTGCCTGCCCAGCAAGCCACTCAATATTGTTGTAGTTGGTTTGAAGATCAGGAAAAACTGATTCCATGAACGTTGCTGGCGTTGTGACCACTGTAGACAACCCTTGGACGTTTACAAATCCATTAGTGTCCGCTGGAATAATACCTTCCCCAAGGGCTAATAATGTATTCGAAAATTCGGCGGACCCAACATCGCCAGTTAAGTGTGCACGCATGTTGGTGGTAAGGTGCAATGGTCTAACAGTGGGCCAAATTTGTGACGATTTCAAACACGCTCGAATAGCGTCGGCCCTTGTCCCCTTAGGTACAACGGGGAGGGTCTGGCGAAAGTCACCGGATAGAAGGACAGTTATAACTCCCATGAGGTAATTGGTGTTTCGAATATCCTTCAGAGAGCGGTTTACAGCCTGGAGTGCAATTTTGGGACTGACAGTGCACTCATCTCAGACGATAAGCTTACATCGCCTGAGTACCTCCGCTAGACCTGATTGCTTGGCTATACTGCATACAGCTGTTTCTGCCTTAATCAGGTCAAGCGGAAGTTTAAACGTTGAGTGCACTGTTCGGCCACCCGGTTGTAATGTGGCAGCAATGCCTGAAGATGTTACTGCTAGCGCCAATTCGCCATGGCGCCAAATTTCTGCAAGAAGCAGTTTTGATACGAACGTTTTTCCCGTTCCCCCAGGCGCGTCCTGGAAGAAAATTGATCTTGTATCCTGCCTGGTGGATGCAAGAACCGCATCGTAAGCGGCCCTTTGGTCTATGAGAAGTTTTGGCTCATTTGTTGTGACATAGGGGTTGAGCTCCTCAACAGAGTAGGATGTCCCCCGCACAATGTCAGGTAAGAGACTGGAGGAAGTCACACGATCTGGCGTTGGAAGCCCAATAGCTGCAAGAGATCCCCCCCATTTCAACGAACAGGTTCTCAATGATTATAAGCGCTCTGTTGTAAATTCCATCGTTGAATGTAAGAGCCATTGTTGGACACAGGAGTTGCGCTTCCCTGAGTATGTATTCGGACAAAAAGTCCTTGTATTTGTCCCAAAGTGATTTGGGATCACTGGGTTCGCACATTTGTAAGATTCTGGTGAAGAGGTTGCGCAAAGCAGAGCTCATTTTTAAAAGAGCTCCCTCAGCCATTGTGGCATCCCACTGGCTGTCGTCTTCCAAAAGGCTGAGACGAAGGCAGGCCGGGACGGAGGCAGGCCGAGACGGAGGCAGGCCGAGACGGAGGCAGGCCGAGACGAAAAGTGTCACATAAAACTCCATTAACCGTCCGTAAGTTATTGTAGCTCGTTGGACCACTAACTTCGTGCAAAAGGAGTCGCAAGTAAAAACATTCCTGTCGCGATGGGGGAACCGTGAATACGCTTCCGAGTGTGGCGTCTTTTTTGACTGGATCGCCCTCGACGTTGGCCCCGCGCTTCCGCCGAGCCCATGTGTTCTTTTTTGTCCACACGTAGTATGAAGGCAGGTCTGGGTACAGTAGAGTCCTAGCAAACTCGTCCTGTCGAAAAAGTTTGAAGAACGCTGTAAGCGTTGTGTCTTTGGTACGCGCAGCCACATCCATTGCTGCATCCGCAGAAAAATAACGAAGTTCGTCGTTTTTTAGGTGCACAGCAAGCTGGACGATTGCTGGGAAGCGTTCGTGGATGGGGAAGCTGAATATGTGCCAAGGGCCCTCTGTGCTGCTAATGACGCGCCCTGGAAGGAAGTCCAAGGATTTCGTCTACGGAACCTTCTTGCCTAATACCAAACATTGCAGCATCAGTCCCTTTGTTGATGTACTTGCATACATACTTGATGGATCGAACTGAATGGCAATATTCGACAGTGATGTGCGCATTGAACGCTTTTGTTAGAAGAGGACAGTATGGCACTACCCATCTGTTATCCACTTGGTGGCCCTTTACCACGGCTGTAAATCCTCCCTCATCGGGACTACTTCGCCGGTACTGTGGATAACCATCGCTCCTTGTAATGGCTTCGCTCACGAAATCTCGCGGGTACTGCCGGGTGCATTTGCCGTCGCTGTTGTGACAGCTGGTGTAATTGTAATGCGACCCGCAGGGACCATGAATCATGTTGGTTATCACTATTTCGTACAATTCAGGGTCAGCCGACGGATCAGTAATTTCAGCAGAAATAAGATGATCGATTTCTGTAGCCTCAATCTTGTCGCACAGCCAAATTAGTATATGTGCGTGATAGCAAACAGCCCAAAAAACCTGTCCCTTTGTCCTCACATCCATTACCTTTCCCAACTTCAGATGGTAAACACGCGCAATGAGGTCTGGACGGTCGTAAGCCGATTGCCCTGGCATAAGTTCTTTAGCAATTGCGTACCATTTTGGGTTACACGAGAAAGTTATGAATAGGTCTGGTCGGCCGTACTTACGAACGTATGTCATCGCGTCTTGCGTCCTCGCGTGCATGTACCGTGGACTGCCTGTGAACGTTACAGGTAGTATGCACATCTTGCCTATATTGCGTGGATCAGCGTCATTTCGTAAAGTATCACGGAAGTGAATGTAAGAGTCGCAGCGCAACTTTGTCTGATTCAATCTAATGTAACAGAGTCTTTCGGATTCCATCTTAGCAGCCATGTCTACTATGAATTGATGGAAAAGTTGACGGCTTCGATGAAGATGATTGAATGCACCCTCATGTACCATCAATAGGTAGGCGTAGAAATGCTGTGTAAGAAAGCGAATAGAAGTTGATGCCGAAGCTGAAGCGGTGCAACCTCGTTATATACGAAAACTAAAAATGCAGTGGAGCGGTATGGGAAAAGCTTCTCCTAGCTATGGGCCGTGCTTAATGGCGATCAAATCAAGACGTGAGGGCGGATGCAGCCGCGCTGAAGGTATTTAAAGGGAGCGTGACTTGTCATTGATTGGTGTAGCCTGGACAATGGTCATGACTTAGACCAATGAATGAGTTCACGCAAAATGGAAGATGCTAGCGCGCATTCACGCACGCGCGCATGATTTGGCAAGCGCAGGGCTTGGCCGTAAACGGGGTCAAGCTGCCTGCTGCATATGCAGCTTGGCTCTAACGCACGTGATGCCGGCGATGAGAAGCTGCAATGAAGTGTTTGCTAGTTTGGTTTGTGCGACAACGAAAAGCCGTTAACCGTTTGCCGGCATTAGTTTTGAAATGGATTGGGATGAAGCCCTGATGTTTTAGCGCAAAAACTCCTCTTCAGGTCTGTGTTGCGGCCTGGGCTCGGGGAAAAGTTTTAAAGAATTGGAAAATGGACTGCTGAGGGCGGAACCATTTTCCCTCAGCACGTATGCGGTTTTTTTTTTTTCAGTAAAGACGCGAATAAAGAAGTTGCTTATTTTGGTAAGATGCGACGATTAAAGCAAAAGTATTGACAAAGTCGAATATGTCATTTGTGGCTCAAAGTCAGACCTGGTAGCAGGTATAAAAAAGCCGAATTTCAATGGCCCTACACCCATTCCAGAATTTGATTTCAAATGTTTTCTTCCACTCCACTGCACGCACTAACCTGTTTCTTCCCGCGCATAGAGTGACCTTAAATCAATCTGCATTTAGGAAATACGCAACCGGAAAAACATTTTTAAGGATTGACCGATTGTCCATTTGCACTCTGTTTGGGGAGCGCTCAAAGTTGAAACTTCACATGATGACTCCCAATGGCCTCCTCATAAATCCAATCGGTTTTCGCTAAAAACCGACATGCGGTTCAGGTGCAATCTGGGCGTGTCGGCTTTTGGGTTTTATCGATTTTCCGCGCTGTTTAGGGGTCCGTGGTCATGAAACTTCTGGACAACACTTCTAAAGGTAGACACTAAGAGGGTGTCAAATTTGGTTGAAATGCAATAATTCCTTCTGTAAGCAGATTTTTTCGATTATCGATTATTTCAGAACCTCAGTCCGAACTGAAAAATCGGGCTGCATCATGTCCTTTAGGCAGCCATTTGCAAACTTGTGGTGAAAACCGCATAGAAATCGGGTGAGAAATGCAACCTGGGCGAGGTAACAACGCCCACGACAGACACACAGACAGACAACATGAGATAGATAGATAGATAGATAGATAGATAGATAGATAGATAATACTTTACCTCAAGTATCGGGGAAATCACTTGGTAATGGATTGTATCAAAAAGCAAAGAAAGAAAAACTGGAAATAATAATAATAATCCAGACGCGGTTACAGACGTAGGACCTGTAACAATCAAAGCTAATCGCCCAGACATTGTGATCATAGGCCACAAAAACAAAATATACTTTCTTATTTACATGACAGTCACTGACGATTGCCATGCATCTTTTAAGATGACTATGTCTGCTATTAAAAAACAATGATCTTGAAGTAGAAATCTAAAATATATGGCGCATGAGAACATCACTAATTCCAGTTGTACTTGGAGTTGTAAAATGTGTGTGATCTTAGTTGTTTTTTTTTTTGTTTTTTTGTTTTTTTTTTTACCAATAATGACCAATGAAAGATGCCATGAGACCATTTCTGAGCTTAGGTCTCTGACTGGGGACCAGAAAATAATGTGTATACAACAGAAACTCAAGAAATAATAATAATATTTCCATCATGCAAGACAGGAAGTTAGAATTTATTGAGGAAAGATTTGTCAAGTGTTATTTCAGTCACTATGAATCATTGGCTAAAGTTTCTTCTTTTTATTTATTTATCATACTGCAAGAGCCACTGGAATGGTTTAAAGGAAGATTCAGGGATTAAATGGAACTATTTTGCCAAAATCCCCGTTGAAAACAGCAAGAATACATTGGTATGAAAACACCAGCAATAAAAAGTATGCCATAAAATATGTCACCTATTCAGATGGCATATTATAATGCGTATATTGGGATTCGTAATGGATAGCAGCCCGAATTGAGGAATCGGAGAACCGAGTTCAAATTCCAGTCGAATCCATTAGATTCATTTACATGCTGACACCCTTGGGAAAGGTATGAATCCTCTTCTCCCCGCCTCAGATATGGGTAAATAACAGGGCCGACCGGGTTCTATATCCTTGGATGGCAACTACTCTACCGCAGAAAGAAATGGCAACCTACTGCTGGAAAAAATCTGCCTCGTCAGTCATGTATCGAAAAGATACATGATAGCTTAAGCGTGTATCACGTATACCACGTAACTGACTGACTGATATTTCCACACCAACGTCAGATTTTGTGCGTACTACTCTGTAGCAGCAGCGGGAACACTATTAATACTAATGATGATGATGATAGAAGCTGAGATAATTATATAACAAGCAAAACATTAATGAAACTAAAATACAAAGAACAACAACATTAGTAACGTGCAAAAATCGGGTAATGTCCCTTGTTATTGGAAAGCTAAAGATTAACTTAATTTTGTCATTGTTCCAATAATTTAGCTATATTGTTTCATTAACTGTGGAATATATGATATATTCGCCGAGAGAGGTTAATTAAGCAATTTCGCCCTAACAATGGATTTAACTGAAAATCTAAGATAATGAAAGTATAAAAGCGAAAATGGAAAGATTAATTTTCTACAATGTAAAATTGAATTACAACTGTTCTTCTCGACTCTCATATTCATTTTTAGAAGACTTTTGATTCGTAAAATTGTGATATTCTTTCTACCCTTTAAGTTAGGTTTGCACACTGCAGTATATGGACGTAACTATTATCAAAAACAGAAGCCGATTTTCACCAAATAATAAAACGATGTTCTATTAAGCAAACATGTCAATAAATTTCAAAATTCCTCTTTTTAACTTAAACTGGTCGTTAGCAAAAGAAACATCCCACGATGCAAGATACAAATTCGAGACGACAAAATCAAGCAAGTGCAGAATTGCAATTATCTGACAATAGAGAACAGATAATGTGACACGGAAATGCGAAGACTAAAAGCAAATGATACTTCCCAATATATGAAAAAGGATTAGGAAACAAGAAAGTTTTGCCAGAAACACAGAAAATATTGTCGAATTGCTATATCATAATATAATTCAATCCTTCTATATGGTCTTGGATGCTGGACAATTTCCTCACAGATGAGGAAGAAAATTTAGGCACTAGGCATTATGGTTCTACAGAAGGGTGCAGAATGACATAAACCGGTATGTTTGTAACAAAAAAGGTTTTAAGAAAAATAAACTCAGAAAAATACAGTTATATTTTCTGGGCCACCTTAAGAAGGCAGAGTACTTGGCAAATTTGATACTCACAGGACATAGTGAAGTCAAGAAAAGCAGGTAGAAACGGCGGGATTATGTAAATGGATGGGGAAACATGAGCTGATAAGGTGATAAATATTACGTGGATGTACGAAGATAAGGAAATTGTGGAGAGTCATGGTCGTCCATTTCATAAATGGGCATAGCATATAGAAGACTTTCTTGTTTACTGAGGTGAAAAAAAAAGAGAAAGTGATTAGAACTTTTTGCGTCCATCTAGCTCCTTCTTTCAGTGATGCTTTGGAATACTAACAAGAATTAATTAGTGGTCATCATATCATCTACCGAAATAGATTTAGTCGTAGAATATTAGACTAAATTTATCAGGCTTGGTGCTTAAGACATTGCGCTGGCATATATATTTGGTAGATATAAGTTGAGTTAGAAATCTTGTCTCGAACTCTGTTTAGCACTGGTGCCTCAAATTAAGCGCAGAGACTGGCGAGCATCGAATGGATTCATCCCATTGGCAAAATAGACATTATATAATAGGTTTAAAAATAGGATTCGGTGCAGTAGAATCGTCTCAAGAATCTCTCAGCTAATTGTAATAATTTGGAGAGGCATTTATTTTATTTTATTTATTTATTTTTTTTTTTTTTTTGTGGTGGAAGTGGAGAATTTGGCATAAGCAATATTTTGGAATAAAACATACGATATTTCTAAAGAAAGAAAAAATAAATAGACATTTTCGCTCCTAAAATCACTAGCAAAGTCTAGATTGCATATAATTTACACACACACACACACAAATATATATATATATATATATATATATATATATATATATATATATATATATATATATATATATATATACCTATGTTTCATGGTTTCCCAAGTCGTTAGGCGCGTATGGCAAATGAACCGATTATTACAGCTGTTCAAAAAAATTGGGTCTCATGGGAGGAACGCTAAATTATACTCAGATTCAAAGCACAAAGTTAATATAAACCTAATATATTATTGGGGTGTAAATTCAAAATATAGACTGTATGGGGGGAGATATTTAGAATAACAAAGCAACAAATATCAAAAAACACAAGAATGATACAAGCTCCAACATTATACATACGTTGTACATATTTTTCCGTTGAAAAAAAAAAGCAAGATTCGTTAAAGAATTATAAATCGTAAGGAGCAAGCAATATGAATAAAAAGAAGTGAGTAGACGATGTGGATTTTTAATATTGTTCATAAATAATCTTTATGTTTCAAGGGAGTAACGCTGTACTTTTTAACATAAATCTTTTTTTTTCCAACGGAAAAAAAAAGTACCATATAAACTTTAAGCTTGCATCATTCTTAACAATTCGTAATATCTCCCTCTTTACATTCTATATTCTAAATTTACACCCCAATAATATATTGGGATTATATTAACTTTGAGCTTTGAATCTGCGTGTAATTTATCGTTCCTCGCATGAGACACAGTATTAAAAAAAAAACAATTGTAATAAGCGGCTCATTTGCTATATGTGCTTGAAGACTTTGAAATCCTTGAAAGTTTAAGTTGCATTACAAACGTAAGTGTACGTGTATTTATTAATATATATTCTTAGCTCTGTTTAACTACATTGAGAACTGTTTTGTTGGCACCATAAATTAAATAAATCGTTATTTGCTTATCTGCGTATGCATGCAATGGCATGCATAAACAGTTGCTAATATCGCCTTATTTAGTTTATATTTACACTCATATCCACATCTCTTTATATATATGTTGTGATGTTGGGTTTGACAAGACACAACACTTAACTTCATAGGCAGTCAAGATAGTAGTACTTAATACTCAGCTAGATAAATCACTGAAATTGTATTATCTTCTACCCCTAGACAATTACTCAGGTCTACTTATCATGAATGGATCAATTCAATCATGACAGGAGGGTAACGGGCTCTTATCACATTATCTCCCCTTTTGAGACTTAGAAGTTGTTTTTTTTTTCTTTTGGGGTTAAGATGTAACACTTCTGTAGGCTGTTACTACCATTTACTGAAGCGTGTGGTTTCCGGTGCTATGTGGAGCATAGGTACCTCGAAAACGTCACATAGAACGGCCATCAGCTCCTCCTCATCTTAGATAATCTGTTCGTCTTTCATGCACCCATATAAACCCTTTTATCATATATAACAACTTGCCGGTACTTCTCTCGACTACCCCATCTTCCTAGCATTCCTTTCATTTTCGAAAGAAGTTTATTGTAGTTCTAGAACTTGGATTCTTGAATTTAAAAATTTCTGACCATATGGAAAAACTGTCGACAACGATTGGGTAGTAAACACTATTTATCGGTCCCGGGAAATCGATGTGTAATCTCAACCTCGGTGTTTCAGTCTTTGGCTAATAGTGGAATTTAATTGGTGGTAATGTTGCTCCCATGGCACGCTTTTACCAATCTCTCTGGGTCAGTCGACATAGCTGCGCATGAGGGATTTCATTCTAAAGATACCCAAATGACCTGTATGAAATTCTTGGAACATCCTTTCCTGAAGAGATGCAGGTATTAGCACTCTTTCACCATACATTAAAACCTCATCGCAGATTGAGAAAGTATTGTTACCGAAGGTTTTCGATTTACTTTTATTTTTTTTCTTCAATTCCCACCTTACTTGCTTTTTTCCCTATTAGAAGTATCCACCTGATCTTTTATTTTAATTTCATTCAGCGTCACTAGTAGATCACGTACGGTATTGAAAAAAACATTCTTAATTTAATTATCACCTCTTAGCGCTGGAATTACCGTATCTTCTAAATATCCACATAATTAAACCATCTGCGTGACTTGACTTTTTTGATGGCCGGAATTCCATTTTAAAATCATAATTCAACAGAATTGTCCCCGATCACAGTAGTCGATTCGCTGTATGTATCAGGATACCGTTTTTCGATCCAAAAATAGATAACAATGGACAGTGGCTCGTCTGT